CACGCGTCCAAAGTAACCCCGGTCGGATCGCCAACGGCATGGTCATGCACTTGCCCGCAACGCGTAGCGGCGATCAACAAGCATCTATCGGCGAGAACAGTTCGTAGTTTGGTACGTAGCTTGTCCAGCAATTTCTGGGGAATCCTGAACGTCATCGTGTCCGAATCGCAGATGATATCGAAGTATTGAAAGACCGTGACTGGCCCAAAACTCACACTTCTTGAATCACAGGAACTGTCCGCAAAAGAACGACGTCAGCATGGCGACGTGGGTCGCCTCCCCGGACGTCAACTACGAAACCCGCACGGACGGGCAGACCATGTGTGGACGAGATACGCCTCCGCCAGGAATCATTGGTGACATGCCCTTTTTGCTTTTTTGAGGGAATATTAGACCTACGGACTCAGGCTAAAACTGGAAAGGGGACGAACTATTTAGCAGTAGTCGACGCCCTTGCACGATATGCCGAAAAAAAAAAGACGAAAAGGCAAAGACGACGGCCGCACGAGAATGTATGTATGGTGCCACGCATACATTACTTACGAGGCCGATACCCGTGAAATATCGATGAGAACAATGTGGGTCCGCAGCGTGGGACATCCGACGAGCGCCCAGATAGGGGGGGTACAGGGATCGAGGCTCTGTTGCGATTTTTTTTTTTTCGGTGAAGGGGAAGCCGGCCGCCGAAAGTTGACAACGGGTCTTCCCCTTCAGGAGCAAACAGCACACAGCATGTATTTTACAATATGTATCTACTGTATATATAAAGATATAGTAGCTGTCGCTAAAACGAGCGACAGCTGATAGATGTAACTGTCGTCAGACGTGTGCGTCCGCGGGAGGTGGAAGAGACCCTTTCTTCTTCTTTTTCTCTTTGCAATTCACGTCATTGGTTACCCGCGACGGCGCTGAAGACGCCCATGTCCGTGTACTTGACCCTCCGCAGGGCTGCTTCAATCGCGCGGTCCTCGAGCATGCTCTTGCCTGCCGGAGCCATAAAGGACTCCGTGTCCTCGGGGGTATCGCCGTCCTCCTCCCCTCCCCCCTCCCCCCGAGGGCCAAGGTCACGCTCCGAGTCTCCCCCGCTGACGGTGGTTCGCAGTCCACGTAGTTGCCCGTCGACGGGGAGCTGGGATAGGGCCGTGTTGTCAAGGACGATGTCGCGGTAGTACGGGTTGTTGGCAATGAGCCATTGCAAAGCCCGTTGCACGCGAGCCCTCCGCACGTGTAGGTCCTTGTGCTGGCCGGGTTCCTGCCCCTCCCTCCGGATGATGATGATCGGTACATCGGCGGCCAACCTGGGGAGGGCAGCGGCTAAGGTACTGATGTCCTGAGCGACGTTGACGACATGGCCACCGTACCCTAGCTGCCCACCCTTGAGGTGGAGGACGCGCATGATCGGACAGCACCGCGCGATGAGCATCTCCTCCGTCTGGGTCAGGCCCTGGAGCTCGACGGGTACGCTCCCAGGATCCATGGTGTTGTCGGCGGAGAACAGCTTCGGACTCTTCTTGTCCTTCTTGCACCGCGGACAACTGTACGAACCAGCGGGTGTGGGGGCGGCAGGTGGTGGGGTATAGAAGGGTAACGTGAGGGCCGTTGCCAACATCAGTGGAGAGCACCTGGCATATGCGGTAGGTATGCAAATTATGAATATCCCGACCAAAGTTCGATCCCTGCTCATGCATTTTTCTATCCACTTTCCTTTTTTCCATTTTTCTTTTCCCAGGCATATGGTATCCTCCATACATCAGTGTATTTTTCTGGTCCTTTTCTTTTTTGCAACATTGCAACATGATGCAACGTGATGCACCAAGCCGACACGTTCATGTCGACGCGTTTGAACACGAAAGACCACCCACCTGTAGACGGCACCTCCGTCCCCTGGTCCGTCCCCTGGTCCGTCCTCTGCGGTGTCCCAACGTTCAGAGCACACTGTGCACACGTGCATCCTCCGGGCGGTCATGGGCTGCTGGAAATTCGTTTGCATCTCTAATCTGGCCCAACCCAACTTTTCCAGCGGCCTAGCAGCGTGAAACTCCGCAAGATCTCTCCGCTTCACATTAGCCTCCCTCTCTCGCCTGGCCCTCTCGGCATCTCTGGCCGCGGCTCTGGCCGCTGCTGCCCGTTCTCTACCCGCTGCACGCCTGCGAAGTGGGGCCCGTGAGGTTAGTCTCAACGTGTAATCTGCAAAGAAGGCAGCAGCGTGATGCGTGATCTGCAAAGAAAGGCAGCGTGATGCGTGCGTGTGGACCATGCGAAGTTGACATGCGGCGAAAAGTATTTTGCAAATTCCAAAAATGCTGGGTACCAACAACCTTTTATGCATGCAATGCACACCACACCAATGCACACCACACCTGGCCTCTGTCGCTTGTGGTGTCTGCTGCTGGCGCCTCGCAGCCTCTCTCTCTCGGTTATCCGCCAGCTGCTGTGGTGTTTGCCGCTGGCGCCTCGCAGCCTCTCTCTCTCGGTTGACCGCCCGCTGTTGTGGTGTCTGCCCTCGCAGTCGCCTAGCGGCGGCTGTAGCGGCGGCTCTCTGCCGGCCCGCCCGCAGCCTGTGTGTGTGTGCCGTGCGTACGAAGTGTACGATGTGTTGTGTGTGGGCAGTAGTCGTGCTGTGTGCGCGGAAGAAGAAAGCAGTAGTAGTCTGCAGTAGTAGTGCTGTGTGCGCGGAAGAAGAAAAGGCAGTTGGTGTATTTGAACTCGATTTCCCCTCTCCGGCAATCGCCGCCCAGACGCACGCACACGCAACGCACCTTTCTGCCCGTGCTCCATCGGTCTCCGCCGCACGCCTGGCGGCAGTCCTCTGACGAGCAGCAGCTCTCGCCCGGTCAAGCTGTGGGCTGCCTAGGGGCTCCCTCTCCCCGTGGCTTTGTCTGCGCCGCGAGTCTGTGTGCGTCTCTGCCTCACGGAGGGAGTTCGGGTCAATCGGCCCCAACGGACGTCTACTCATCATGCAATTGCCATGCCATGCAGGCCGCTGTGGCTGTGTCCGCTCTGCGCTGTTGGTGTGTCGCTGTGCCCGCTGAGCGCGTGTTGTCTGCTGTGCGTGTGTGTTCAGTCTGCTCGCTGAGCGCGTGTTGTCTGCTGTTGCTGTTTGCTGCTCTGCTGTGTAAAAAAAAAAAGTGCGCCCTGTAGTCACAAATCAAGTCCTGTACTCTAAAACCTAGTTTAAGCGAACACAACACACGCACGCACTTTTTTTCCTGCATCGGCCCCTATATTGCGCTGAGCCCTCTCAGGCAAGATTAGAAATCTCGCTTCGCTCGAATAATGAGCCGCGGAGCGCGAAGCGTGACCTTGTTTCCCTTCATCTCCTAGGAGGGAAAAAAAGGCCCTGAATACCGGGCTCGAAGTTCGATTTCCGTGTCGCATATTTGTCGCACCTTTCGGACCAGAACGAGACCGATTGGGCACCGTTTGACGATCTGTTCACTTCTGAGCAACAAGACAAATTACGCGCTCTTCGTCATACCGATTTGGTTGTGCTTCGGCAACAGATGGCCGTGCTTCATAGACATATGTGGCCCAATTTCGTAGTAGATCGCATCCCCGCACGCCCAGGAGTTGTGGACAGGTAAAAGGCCCAAGCTATCGGAGATTACGCACAGACACAGACATATGCGGTATAGTTCAACCCCGGGACGACAACACCACATCTGCAGAAGGAGAACAACAGGACGCTGATCCGAGACCAGTTATTTATGAAAACCAGGAGGGGCCGGGCCATTACAACCCGAGCGCCGTGGGTATAGTCATGCGCCGTGTGTAATCTGGCGGGTGTTTGTTGATGTTGAGTGGTGCAACCGACTCCCAAAGCAACAGCAGACCGATGATCACAAACGAACGAACAACACACAACACACCTTCCCAAGCCCAGAAATCGCACCTACCATGGAGAGAATCCATCGAGGGCGTGAGAGGCTACTGCTTCTGTGCGCTATGAGGATGGTTTCCCGCGGGGTCGGTTCAGGTTGCGTATTTGCGCAGCGCTACTGACTTTCTTCGTAAAGTCCGTGCCCTGCCTGCTATTGCTGCTCGCATCAAAGTCATGACTATCATCAACGGCTTTGTTGATTTTGTCCCGTGATGTACAATACATGATGTAGACTGCTTGCTTTCACTTGGCGCGAAACTCGTAAGGATTGAGACCAATGTGGCGGGCAAGTTGTGAGCCTGACGCAATATTCGCCATCTGTCTTGCTACAAACGTATGTCTGCGCTGCTAGTCGTGCTCCTCGACGGTGTGATGTGTGATGCGCTCGCCGCCAAGGTATATGCCGCATGCGCATGCGTGCCTCGTCCAGTTGTCCTGATGTGCGTCGGCACAGCGGGAAGACTTCACACTTTGTTTCCTCGCAGGTGTGTGTATGTGCATCAACGTAACAGAAACAACCGCATGTAAAGTGCAAAAGTTTGAACAGGGCTGCACATACAACCATCGTCGCGCCCGTCGCACCACTGCAGCCTGTCCCTCTGGTGCACGCGTAGCTGCACCACAAACGATTCACGCTGCTGTGTTCGGGATTCGTGCACCATCAGGATCGCAGATAAGACTACCGTAAGGTATTGAGTCGCTACCCAGCGGCTCATTACCCCGCCCCATCTAGTAATCCCGGATTTGAGACGAATCCAGATTTCGGAACGAAATCGGGAAGAGACAGATATCCCTTGAAGGATGTTGGGAAATGACTCTACCTTATTCAGTCCCCTTTCTCTATCCGAAATACGCCGGAGCTATCAAGGAGACAGGAAATACGTGGGAGAGTAACTGTTCGTGGGTCTGCGGACATTGGTGTTGGATACGTATGCTGTATGATTTGGTGTCACGCAGATTGGTAAGATTGGCGTTTGGTAGGAGGCATCGCGATGAGGCACGGGGCCCCTCCTTGGTGTAGGATCTGCCCATTTGGGGCACTCCCTCTTTCGTACATGTGAAGGACGATCGTCTAACTCTCGTGAAGTCAATACATCACCAAAACAGTCTCACCCGATAAATAAGTGGCTGAGGCCGCAAACACTCAAGGGTTTGCCCCTCGAGGGAAGCAACGTCGGGATGAGTTTTGCCGGAGATGATGTACCCACTGCTGCGAGCGGAGAACAGATCCGCTCGCCGGTGGAGGAGGGCCGCGATGCAAAGCTTGCAAGTTTGCAATGGCAGATTTCGCAATTGGCGGCCCTGGTGAAGGAGCTGGTGAAGAAGAAGGAGCCTGGCAGCATCTTGGTGGATGCAGCCAGAAGTGGCGGCTGGGTTTCCGCCACGGGAGGCCAGCAAGAGCCCACGCTGCCGCTCGGCGGTGGCGAGGGATTTTTCCAGCAGCAAGAGAGAGATGGTACGCAAGGACCACGCCAGCTGCTGGAAGGTGGCTGGGCCAGCAGATCGGGAGCGAATGCTGCGAGACGAGCCGGAATGGGCCCGGGCATACGACCGGACTACGGGGAAGCGAGGGGGATGAACCCCCCAGGGTGAGATACCCGTGATTCGAGGAAATGGAGAATACCTCGACGGCTACAGCAGTAGCCACATGAAGAGGGTGACGGTCAATGCTCCGCTCCTAGACGGAAAAAGCCGTAGCCACGGATTTGACTCGTGGCGAAAATCATTCATCCAAGCTGCGAAGACCATCGACTTGGACGGGCTGTTTATAGGAGATGCAGAGAGCGGTATCCCCGTGGGCGACCCAAACTTGCCGACTTCCGAACTGCTTATGGGGCACACGAGAGGAAAAGTCCAACGAGGGCTTCGGGCGTTCCATGTTATCACTACTGCTGTGGTAAAAGAAGCTGACAAACATCAGAAACTGTGCGTCAGCGAAAGAGGTCCTCGCGGAATTGAAAAATGTCTACGATTCGGAGTCACAGGGGTCCCAACAGCCCTTGATGCGGAAGATGTTCGACTTTGCAATCTCCACACACAGCAACAGCAACCCCATCGAGCACCTCTACTCTCTCGAGCTGCTGTATGCCCGCCTGCGCGAAAAGGGGCTCAATGCTGAACAACCCTTCGTTCTCGCCCACTTCGTTGGTTCCCTCCCACCCGAGTACCAACAAGCGAAGTTCCTGTTNCCCCATCGAGCACCTCTACTCGCTCGAGGTGCTGTATGCCCGACTGCGCGAAAAGGGGCTCAATGCTGAACAACCCTTCGTTCTCGCCCACTTCGTTGGTTCCCTCCCACCCGAGTACCAACAAGCGAAGTTCCTGTTGGAGACAGCAACGGCGCTGGATAGGGCTGAGACCGTCCGGATCGTGAGCACGGTGCACGCGAGACTCCCGGAGGGGAGGAAGGCCTCGAAGGGCAAGCGTAGGGCGGAGCATGCTCCCCTCGCGAGCGACGGTAGCGGCGGGGGAGGAGCGCCGGGCCACGGCAACAGCGGCCGCCCAAGGGTGGCGGCGGCGGCGGCGGCAACCAGAGCGGGAGAGGGGGTGGCGCGAAAGCTGGTGGCGGCAGCGGAGGCGGCGACGATGATGCGGGTAGCATGCGTGGTCGCTGTTTCCGGTGCGGCAAGAAGGGCCACGAAGTGGACAACTGCCCCGAGAGCAAGCCCGTGCGATGTGAGACATGCAAGGGCTACGGGCACGACAAGAGCAAGTGCCCGACCGACGAGGCGGTGCTCGTGGTGGAAGTAAGCGGGGGGGCGTCTACGGACGCCACAGCACTGGACGTGGTAGAAGAAGCGCTGGTGGTTGGTGACATCCCACGCGAGTGTCTCAAAGTCGTTGGTCGAGGGGGTGTAGAGAAGGCTAGGCGGGGTAGGTATGTTGCCGATACCGGCGCTACCACCCACATGTTCGCGAACTCAGATGGGTTCGTTAGCTACGAAGAGTGTGATCGACGTGTGCGCGTCGCCGCCGGAGAAACCTTCCCTATCGTAGGGTATGGCGACGTGACGGTAACCCTTAGCTCGCGCGACGGTACAACCGACCTGTTGTTGAAACGGGTTGCACACGTCCCCCGACTAGACTACAACCTAGTATCTCTCACTTCCCTCTTCGACGACGAGTTCGAAACCAAACACTCAATAAACACGAGTTGGAGTTGAAGCGAGGGGGGGGGGAGTTGGTGTACTTCACCCGATACGGTAACCTGTACGTCCAAAACGGTTTCCGCATACACACCGAACATGCCTGTGCCGCAATTGCTCCTGGCAACGCGAAAGCGCCCAGCACCCCCGTTGACATCAACGATTTCCACTGCGCGCACGGCCACTCCCACGAGGTGCTGCTGAGGA